GAATAAAAGCAACAAGATGAATGTTTGGTTTTCTTTGAATAAACTAAAGTTATGGCCGTTGTATGAGCTAAAATTCCAACAATTAGGATAGGTAAACAATCTATTTTACCACAATAACTCCAACATCGCAGTGCAATCGCCTAAAGTATGTGAATCAGCAGTCAGAAATTGAAGAATTACCTATGTATAACCTAAATGCAGTTGAGCTATGTCCTTGAGCCAATGATAAACGTTTTAGCATATTTCGGTAAACAAAGGCGTAAGTTTAATTTGACCTATTTTATGCATTTTCCAGCTACAAAGATCATTTCAGTTTGCTAACCATAGGTTTAGTGTGATGCGCGTAATTTTATCATAAACATTCCTTTATTTCCGTCCTTATAAACCTAATCATTCGCTTAGTTCTCTGTTCTGAATATGAAATCTGCTTGTACGCAGGCTAAATAACCCGATGTTGGGTAAGCTAGCTTTCAAAACGTGAGCTTCTCTTGGAACACTTCTGCCTTGCATCTCGGATTTTCAATTCATCGTAAAAAATTCAACTCTCAGGGTTCCCTAGAAATGAAACACTGGGAGGACAAAGAGTTCATAAGTACAATCTCTATACGAAATTTTTAATAAAGTAAATCTTTGATTCATCTTGTGTCCGAAATATCAACTTGATTTTTATTTTCAGAAAAGATAATCAACTCTCTTGACAATCTACGTCCTAATTTTATATGTATATGAATTGAAAGAATGCATACAATTCTTCTATTCAATAATCTCATACTACGTTTCCTCGAATTTGCTTTAGATTTCTGATGTGAAATGCTTTAAGCTGCAACTAAGCAAATTACAACAAATAAATTTAAGGACTTTTGGAAAAGGAAGGCAGCTACGAGCTGCTACAGGCAAATAATAAAATGCGAATGCCAGAGATTGAACAAAAACTATTTCTAAGTAAAAGTGTATCAGCTGCTTTGGAGGGCGATGAACTAACCTCTAAGGTGACAACGAGAATGTGGTTCTTTTCGGTGAAAGTTAAACAAAGTGCAGGAGGTTAGTAAATAACAGGTTTTCATGTTGCTAAATATACACCCAAGGCCCGCTTGTTTTACACGTAGCTAAAAGTAGGAAGATAAGCAGAGAACCAAGCTAACTTAGCATTTATCTTATGTAGGAGCACATTTTTAGCGTGGGTTAATTAAACTTATGAAAAATAATTAACAGCGGAAATATTTCTACTAAATTACTACAAATTCTTATTTTTGTAATCTTTGAAACCATGTATAACTTCGAATTCTTAGGAGTCAATATGAAACATTCTAATATCTA